AGAATGATAGATATTCTGCTCCACTTTTCAGGTTCTTTTATAAAAAATGTATCTCTATAAATGAGGACTTGGTCTATTCATTTGTTACATAGTTTTGTAAGGTGGAAATCAAGGTGAAGCTGTAATATCTGATGTGCTCCTATTTGTTTAGCCAATTTGCTGCCCCCTACTGTCCATAGTGTTAAGCACTTGTTTTCACTAAAACAATTTTTATCTTCCCTTAGTAAAACAAGAACACTGTGCTTGAAAGTAAAGGCCATAAAATCAAGAATTCATGATCACTGACTCTAGCATTAGAACTATGAAGTTGTAGAGAATCAGCAGTTACTTTCCTGAGGAATAAATGGTGTGTCTCTCAGAACAAGGCAAAAATTACTGGCAAATTCTCTCTAATGATAATTGTCTTCAAAGTGGCTCCAGCAAAATTATACTATGAAATAATTATATGCTGTATATGTAATTCTCTAATAATTGGATAAAAATAGTGTTTAGCAATAACAAAAATCTTAATACTTTTGCAACTACTGGGTCAAATTTTTTAATTCAATGGAAAATAGTTGTAAATTCATGGTTTAATTTTTTTTTACTTTTTGAGTTATTTATCTTTATTTTATGTGTATGAGTGTTATGCCCATATGTATGCAAGTGCACCTGTGTCATGCAGTGCCTACAGAAGTCAGAAGAAGGCATTGGATCCTCTGGAACTGGAGTTACAGGTGGTTGTTATCTGCCATGTTGGTGCTGGAATTCGATCCTGGGTCTTTTGCAAGAGCATACCTTAACCACTCAGTTATCTCTCCAGTCTAAAAATTCATGTTTTCAATTTCAATGGAAGTTAATTACTAGATTTTCTATTTCCAAATTTCACTGTTTATCTTTAAGTGGAAAGCAAAAATAATATTGACATAAATTAGGGTAAATATCTCAGGGTTTCTGCAACATTTCACATATCTAATAAAAGCCTCTCCAATTTTTTAATTTTTATTTTGTATTTTTATTTTATATATATGAAGTGTATTGCAGGCATGTGTGTAAGTGCACCAGTGTCGTGCAGTGCCCTCAGAGGTCAGAAGAGGGTGTTGAATCACCTGGAACTGGAGTTAGGGACAGTTATTAGCTGTCATGTGGGTGTTGGGAACGAAACCCAGGCCCTCTGCAAGAGCAGCCAGTGCTCTTAACCTCTGAGCCAGCTCTCCAGCCCCTCTCCAATTTTTATGACAAAAATAGTATTATAACAAAAAACTAAAGAATATAGAACTGAAAGGAAAGACAGTTTCAATATCAGAAAGACACTAGTCTTTTGTGTATATATGCATTTCTTTACTGTGCTCATCCAAATTCCAGCCTTGGAATGCCATTGTAAATGCTGTACAAATGTGTGGCCGTACAGTTCTTATCACTTAGCATTAGGTCACAAACTCCTAGGGTCATTGCACAGTCTATTACGCAATCACTACATATATTATGTAAGCTTGGCCCCTGCACTATTTTTCTTTCAAACTTTACTATCACTGTGTATAGTTATTATTATAGTACTATCTTTCATTATAGAATATTGAAATAAGACTACATCACTAATAACATATTGTATTAAGAAAACCATTAATGTAATGACAATAAAACAGTAAAATAAGCTTATGTCAAAATAGTGGCCTTTGTTGGAATGTGTAATATTCCACAACTTCCAACACTGTTAAGTTATACAGCATTTGTTTCAGACCTGAGTTGTAACTACTTGGTGGAAATCCTTGCACTCCTTAAGAATTCTACAGAAACAATATGGGATTTTAACAGTGAGTGCTTAGCAGCCTCCCAGACAGTCTTCTGAGTCTCACGGCTTTTCTCTTGGCTGAAATGAATGGTTTTTAGGGGATCTTAGAATTTTTTTTTTTTTTTTACTTTATATATTGTACTGTGCAACTATGCACTTTGGGGATGTGTGGTGATTATCAAAGAAGTAGCATGAATGTGTATAGTACTTTAAGTATTCAGTCATAAAATCAACCAGCAGGAATCCATCTTGTCGGGTATGTATTATTTGAAAATATTAAGGATGGTGCTGGGCTAAGTAAATGTTCGGGGTCTGCTTTCTATTCCTAAAGTAAGTGTATGTATTTTTCTCACACTGTTAATGTTAACACCCTTGGCTTTTCTTATCTTAAATACAACATTAATAAACCACTTGAGAGCTGAGTAGATTATAAAATTGACTGTTCTGTAAATTAGAATGTCAAGGAAACCAAGGTAGGATTATTCCCGCGCTCCCTGGCCTTGCACAGCACCTTCTGTGCAAACTCCACCCACCTCCTTAGTGTAGCCCCCAGTAGGCATGGGGTGAGTAAGAAAATGCCATGTTTCTTCTCTTTCGAGGAGACTCGGATCTTTACAGTGGTAGGCCATCCCTAAGGAGTCCGGTCCCCACCTGCACCCTAGCCACTGCCCCTTCCGGAGCCGCCAGTCGGGTTTCCATCCAGAGCCCCCTATCTAACGAATCAGTGTCTCCTTCACCCCTCTCTCTTACAGCCCCCTCTCCCAACATCTCCGACACCTGTTCCCAGGGAACCTGGCCGGAAGCCTCTCCCGGTGTCACCCTCGGCAGATGGCGGGCGTAGCCCTTCCCCTCCGCCCCGGAGCCGCATCCCGGCGCCCAGCCCCGGCGCCGCTGCGCTCTCTCCCACCACCCGGGTGAGCTCCTTCCTTCTTCGCCTTCTCTCCTGCTGTGGGGAAGCTGAGCTCAGCCTTTGTTCTGAGGTTAAGGAGACGTGGTCAGAGGCTGTCCCTCTGCCTGGTCACCTGGTGCCTTGGTTCTTCCGGCCCTTAAACCCCTAACTTCTCCCCACATCCCCAGCATCTCCTGCCGGGGTTCGGTGTCCCAGCCATCAGCAGCGCCTGCACCCTGCAGGCCGCCGATGGCCGGAGTGACTAGCCGCTTGGAGCCTGGGTTGGGCCTATGTTCGTTCTCTGGCAAGCCACGGAGGCCCATTGTCACTGCCAGGGCGTTTCCCCTCGTCCATGCATCAGCTAAGGAGAGAATTAGAAATGGTGGCCGTAGGGACCCAGGCGACGCCATGGACGCGCATCTTCATTCATGCCCTCATTTTGCTCATTGTACTTCACTTCTGTTCTCTCCTTCTGAGGTTTGCTGGATGAGTCCGATGCATGTTTGGGTGTGGATGCGCGTGTGTTGCATACCACACAGCGTTTTCCCTCACTTCGCTCAGTGTGCCTTTTCCTTCCCTTTTCCTTCACATCTGCTCTAGACTGATCGCATAAATCCAGATGACATAGATTTAGAAAATGAGCCCTGGTATAAATTCTTTTCAGAACTGGAGTTTGGACGCCCGGTAAGTGAGGCTAGACAATTGCTATAAGACAAATAGGAGAATGTTGTTTGATGTATAAAACGTTGTTATCAGAAGGGAGACATGTCATGTGGAAAACAAAAGCTGAATGGATAAAATATTCGCCAAAGCGTTACAGCTTCCGGTGCATTCAGTTTGGCACCAAATGCCTAGATGTGCTTATTCGTTTCCAGTATCTTTTTTCCCCCAAATGATACGTTAGAATTTCTTTATATCTAATTAATTGCAAATTTAACTTGTTGAGTTAGTGTCTGTCCTGGATCATTTGGAATGTTACTACAGCTTTATAGAAGAGTTGTATTTGCTTGCAGCTCATTTTGGTCTAGCTCAGCAGTAGCAAGCACCTTCAAAGAACCACTGTTAATACAGTTTTATTTGCTGGGGAATCACCAAGCCCTGGAAAGTGCTGAGTTCTCTACTCAGTGACTCGTTGACCAGAAAGGTCAAGGAATTTGCCCAAAATAACCAGAAATTAAATCTAAGTCCTTCACACAACAATAAAATTCTCCAGGCTGTTTCCCACTATGATGTATTACCAAACTATCCACACTTTAAAATGATTAATTTACCAGGAGGGAAATAAGGAAAGGAGAGAATTAAAACAAAAACAAAAACAAAACCCTGAGGACCTTAATTTATAGTCTTGCTCAGGAGCCACCACACACCCACCACACCTGGGGGTCTGATCCCCAGATTCCCACACAGAATGCCCCCAGATTGGTCCTGATGGGATCTGATTGGTTTGTTTGAGACAGAGTCAACTCAAGTTTCAAGTCACTTCCTTTAGTCACTTGGGCTCTACTGAGAATCTCTATGTGAATTTCATGTGTGTCTGTCACGTGCATTTTTTGAGTATTGAACTGTTAAGTAGCATACCAGTTGTACTGTACAGCAATTTTATTAGAAATCAGTCTGATCTTTCCTATACCATGTCACAGACTGATTTATAGACTTACTTACAATCACATATTCCTTCCTGGATGGCTATAATAATCTCTTTTATGCATTAAAATGCAAAGTAGACTTGGTTAGTCTTATTATATGTCTTATTGAACTGAATCAAATGTGACTGTAAATGAATATTAAACCAAAAATTTGTTCCTAGAATTTCTATTACCTAATAAGAGGATGGTTTCCTCCCATTTTTCTTCTGGTGTCTCCTAGTATTATCATAAATGCACTTTATTTCAGAGGAAAAATGCTCTCATTTTATTTTATGTATTTGCTATTATTGGTTAGAATTTACAGGAACTACACTAATTTCTGTGTTGACCTAAATTATCAGCACTTTCTGTAATCATCTTCAGCCAAGGAACACACAGCAGCATACTCTCCCTGTGCTCCTTTAATGTCTCTTTAATGTACCTTGCACTCTGCTGTGGCCAAAGAATAGGAGTGCTAACTTTGATTTGATGAATTGAGTTTATGAGTCTCCTAATTGAACTCTAGCATTTTGCCAGTTTCACACTCTTCCTCCTAGGCTACCATTGCTCCATTCATGCCACCCTTTATGTGTATCTGATGCTGTCTGCACTTCGTTTCTAACTGTTGTCACCTTCTCCACATGTTCCCTCCTTGCTGCCATTGATTCTCCTCCATTCCATCTCCACACCTCTGCTGTGGTACGTCTACACCCAGCCTCCTAAAAAGGCTCTGGACTATGTTCAAGATCATTCTTCTGGTGTTTCCAATGAGGTAAAGACAAATTATTCTCTCTTTTCCAGACTTCTCCCTGAGAGGCTATTACTGTGAATCTGAATGTCCATGTTTGTATAGTTCACTGTAGTGCTTCAGCTGGTTTTGAAAGCTCCATCTTTGTATTACTGTGCTGCATGCAATATCATTGTCTAAACAATTATTCCAAAGGGGTTGGTTGTTTTTGAGTGCCAGGTGCTGAATCATTCCAATTTTGACTCTCAGTTAAAATATTAAGCAGTACAAATTTTTTTTTAAAACTTAAAAAGTTTTTAAAAATTTAAAATTTTTTTTAAAAAGTGTTGAACTTAGAATGTGTATTAACTACCTATTTTTATTAGATTCAGCAAAGTACCATGAAGAAGCTTCTAGAAACCACTTTTTCATTGTGCTTAGAGGTACAGATAAACGATTTAGATTCTTGGGCCATGGAGATGGTTCATCAGTTGAAAGTGTTTTCTGTGAAAGCTTAATGACTTGAGTTCCATCCCTGGTACCCACTCACCATGGAAGGAGAGAACTCCATGCACAAGCTGGGGCCATGTGTGCCTCATTCTCACAGACAAAATAATAATAAATAAATCTAAAACATAGTTGAGAAACATATAATGAGATGCTCATTCCTCGTGTTTTATTTATTTATTTATTTATTTTTATTTTTAAAAGGGTTTTTTTGTAATCCCAACTGACCCAGAACTCTATGTAGGCCAGGCTGACCTCAGTCTCATAGAGATCCACCCATCACTGCCTCCTGAGTCCTCAGATTAAAGGCATGCATT